AGATGATATATATATATATTTCCACAAATATATATTTGAAATATATATTAAAACTGAAATATATATATAGTAAAACTGAAATATATCAGATATATATATATAATATCTGAAAATATATTATATATATAATATATATCTAAGTCGGTTTGGGTCGGTTCAGTTTCGGTTTTCACACATGAAAACCAAAACCGAACCAAACCATTAGTTTATGTTTTTTTTAACCCGAAACCGACCGATGCTGAAGAAAAACCGGCCAACTCGGATTGGATCGGACCGAGTTGATCGGTTTGGTCGGTTTGGGTCTCATTTCAGAGAGATAGGTTGTGGCACAAAGTCATTGTGAGTATTCATGGTTTGGATGGAAATGGTTGGGATGCAAAAGTTGCCCCTCGTGTTTCCTCATCTTCTCCTTGGAAAGCAATTTATGAAATCTACCCAACATTCCTTAACTCCATTCGGTTTGATGTGGGCCAGGGTAATAAAGTTCGTTTCTGGGAAGACCTCTGGGTGGGAGATAGTCCACTCAAAGACCTCTTCCCTGACCTATACACTTTGTCAAACTTCAAAGGGGAAACAATAAGCTTTCTGGGTAATCCTGGCCCAGGTGGGGTCAAGTGGAATCTGGGTTTTAGGAGGGGCCTTAGGGAAAATGAATGTGCCTCTTTAATTCAATTGTTGGATCTAATAGGACAAGTTCATTTGGACCCTTCCTTGGAAGATTCCAGAATTTGGAAAGGCTCCGTAGATGGCCTCTTCTCTTGTTCCTCTTTCTTTAACGTTCTTGCCACACCTAGCAACCCGGTTGGGGACTTCCCTGTAAAAGAAATTTGGAGTAAGCCTATCCCCTCAAAATTTCAAGCCTTCTGTTGGGAAATTTTCCTTGGCAAGGTTAATACGTGTTAATGCTACAGAAAAGAAGGCCTTATGCTTGCCTTTCTCCTCACATGCGCTCCCTTTGAAAGGAAAGTGGTGAGACCTTGACACATCTATTATTATCTTGTTCCTTTGTGCATCATATTTGGGAATCTTTTTGTCTTCTCTTTGGTTGCAAGTGGGTTTGCCCTCAAGATGTGGCAGGACTTTTCAACCGAGACTTTTTAAGGCAATCAAAGAAAAGAGGGAAGGTTATGTGGAAAGATACAAAGGCAGCTATTTGTTGGGTGATATGGGAAGAAATGAATAACAGAATATTCTTGGACAAGAGTAGAACAATGGAAGAGGTAATTGACACAATCAAAGTTAAAGTAGCTCATTGGGTAAGTTCTTTGCATATTTTCCAAGAGTTCTCAGTCACAAACATTATAAGATCCTGGACAGAAGTAGCACAATCTTCAAGAGTGAAAGAATAAGGACGGAATGGAAACCTCCAAATGGTAATAGAATTAAACTGAATTTTGATGGAAGTTCATTTGGAAATCCGGGATTGTCAGGTATCGAGGGAGTAATCAGAAATTCTGAAAGGAGAATATTAGCATTATTCTCTTGACCTATTGGCATGGGCAACTCTCTAGAAGCTGAGGTAATGGCACTGTTACAAGGATTGAAGATAGCCAAGAAACTAGGGATGAGGCATATTGAGGTTGAAGGGGATTCCAAGGTGATCATCTCTTGGGCTAAAAACAATAGAACTACTTCGTGGACTTTCAAACAAGTGATAAGGGAAGTGGAAAAAGTTGCAAGGTAGGTAGAGGCAGAATTCAAATGGGTTAGAAGGAGTGCAAATGGGCTAGCTGATTATCTTGCTAAACAAGGTGTTTTGAGGCAACAATTGTTTTGGGCTACATTGCAAAAAGGGACAGAAATATGTAATAGTGTGGGACTTCTAGTCCCATACACAAAGTTGTAAAACTTTTAAACTTTAATTTCAAATAAAATTCTCCTTTGATGATCAAAAAATAGGAGTTGGTCAGAAACTTTGAGGGTCTGCCTAACTTGAGAATCAACCTTGGAAAGAGTTGTGTAGCTGGTATCAACATGAGGGCTAGCGAAGTGGAGGCTAATTGCTAGAAGCCTAGAGTGTTCTATCTCTTCTTATCCCATGACTTATTTGGGGCTTCCATTAGGGGCAAACCCTAGGGAGAGTAGCTTTTGGTGTCCAGTGGTAGAGAGATTTCAAAAAAAAAGCTTGCCTCATGGAAGAAGAATTACATCTCTTTGGGGGGTAGAATAACTTTGATAAGAGCCACGCTTGCTAATCTACCAACCTACTTTCTATTCGTCTTTAGAATCCCACCTAGGGGAGCCACCAAACTAGAGAAATTGATGAGGGATTTTCTATGGAACCAGGGGAAAGCAAGAAGGATCATCTGATAAAGTGGGAAGTCGTATGTCAAAACAAAGAGAAAGGAGGGTTGGTTTAGGAAATTCGATTCAAAAGAACACAGCGTTACTAGGGAAGTGGTTGTGGAGATGGCCCCTGGAGAGAAAGATTATGGCAACTCCGTGGAGTATCTCAGTGAGCTACATCAGCAACTCCATGGAAAGTGATTCATGGTACTCTTCCTTAATTTCTCAGGTTTATCAGGTTTGATGTTTGTGATAGCAACTCTGTTCTTTTTTGGGAGGATACTTGGGTAGGAGAGGCTCCTCTAAAGGATCTCTCCCCCTCTCTATTCTCTGTTTCTCAACATAAAAAAGATATTGTCTCTAAATTTGTCTCCCCCCTGGAAAATCCGTTGGTACCTAACTAGGATTTTGGGTTTCGTAGAAGCTTAAGGGAGGAAGAAATTTATTGCCTACCTAGTCTACTAAGCCTTCTTGACAAAGTTTGCTTGGACCCTTCAGATCTAGATAAATGTGTTTGGACACCCCAGCCAACTGGGTCTTTTTCGTGTGCTTCTTTTTTACGATCCCTTTCTCAGTCCCCTTCTATCTAGCCCTTCCCCATTAGGGAAATATGGTGCAAACCTATTCCCCCCAACATTTTGGCTTTTCGTTGGGAAGTGTATTATGGGTAAATAAACACCTTGTATACTCTTCAAAAGAGAACCTTTCCTTTGTATCACCTAACTGGTGTATCCTTTGCAGATCTCATGGAGAGGATTGTTACCATGTACTAATATCTTGCTCCTTTACTGCAGAATTATGGGAGTGGCTCTTGTTGTTTGGGTGCAGGTGGAATAGGCCAGCAGAAGTAAGCTTGACCTTTCATCCTTCTACCTTCCCATGGCATCAAAAAAGAGGAAGAATCATGTGGAGGTGTGCTAGAGCCGCATTGATTTGGACAGTGTGGGAGGAAAGAAATGCTAGAATCTTCCAGGAGGAGAGGAAAATGCAAGAATTGAAGGAGTGCATTCTGCATAAGGTAATATGGTGGCTGTAATCCCTGGATCCATTCAACCAATTCTCCTTTAATGATATATGGAGGAATTGATCAGCAGTAGCAAACAGCTCCTATTTAAAGATTAGAATTGGTATGAGTTGGGACCCCCCTCCCGAAGGTTTTCTGAAGCTAAATTTCGATGGTGCAGTCAAGGTAATCCAGGCCCCTCTAGAATGGGAGGGGTACTGAGGAATGATATTCTCCTCTACTTGGGTCCCCTATGGATTGGGAACTCTACAAGGGAAGAATTGCTAACTGTCATCCAGGGAGTACAGCTTGTAGTTCAGCTAGGTGTGCAATAACTACTAATAGAAGGGGACTCCAAGGTGATAGTGGGCTAGCTACAGAACCTTTAGCCTATTGTGTGGAGCTTTAAGAATGAAATTAAAAAATTTAGATGGCTGATAAAGAGCTTGGCTGTTAATATTAAACGGGTGGGGAGATCAGCTAATGCTTTGGCTGACTGTCTAGCAAAGCAAGGGCATGGGAACAATTGTATTGGGCTCATCTGTAGTCTGAATTTGTTTTTTCTGATTTCTTTTTCCTCTTGTTCTTTGGAGATGACGCAGTTCGCGCCTCCTCACGGGAAGTTTGTATTTCCAGCTCTTTTCTTAATGAAATCTTAAATTATTTATAAAAAAAAAGGCGAAAAATTAACCTTCCTCAACTTTGATTATAAATATATGTAAGGTCCTCCTTTTCAACATAAGATGATAAAATGTGAGTTTTTCACTTTAATGTTTGACCGGTTTCAAATATTTAACTTAAATGCTGGCACAACATCAGTTTCAACATTTGTGTCAGTATTTATCATTACATATCCAAACCATAACTAGCCCAAGCAATAGAAAGGCTGAGAAATTAATAACAATTTTGAAAAACGTTAAAACATTCAAAAATATAATATATATATATAATGTAAATCCACTCTGTAGACTATTGGAAATGTGGAATATATATAAAAAGACCACTACCCAGTGTCGGTCCCAGCTTCTGGGTCATGGGAGGGGTAGAGCCCAGAACTAATGGAAAATATACCAATCAAAGAAGTTAGACATGCACATGTTATTTTGGTAAAATATAATCTTTCCCATGCTTTGCTACTTCTCAAGTTATCAATATATTTATTTCACATGACAATGTTAATAGTTCATATCTTTCAAACCATAGATAAACTTCATTTTCATTATTTTTGTATCTTAATTGCTTCATCTGCAATTTTAACACTTCTCATCTTTTCAAGTAAAAAATTGTGAAATTGTTACTGATTTCCGACAGAGTACATTTTTAAAAGTATGGTAACAAAAGAAATGAAAACATATTTTTAAAAAGTATGTCTATTGTACATCCAATATTTTTCATGGTCTCTGCTAGAGGCATAATTCAAATAGGATTGACAACAACAATAAAACAGCAGAAACAGCTACAACAATAACAATAACAAAGTCCTAAGAATGAAGACAGGAAGAAAAACATAATGGACCATCTAGACAACAATAACAACAACATCATCATCATCATTTCAGATAAGGATATATTCTCTATCAGAACCATTGTGTTTGAATCTCAGACAAATGAGATATGTTCCACAAATATGACACAGATAGGGGAAGCATATCACCATTCAACTAACCATAAGACAAGTGAAGAACTTACCAATGGATCAAAATTGTTTCCTACTGTCTCCACAGGAACAACACCTAATGATCCCAGAATCTCGATGAATTGTTTACATATGCTTTGGTAGCTGTTGTTGATCTTTTCCTCTCCCTCAGTCTCCACCTTGATTTGGGATTTTGCTCGCTCAAAGTTATCCAAAACAGGCAAAAGACTCTCCACAACTTCTCCTTGCGCATTTGTCACCAAGGAAAGTCGTTCTCTCTCCGTCCTCTTCCGAAAATTATCAAAGTCAGCACTGATCCTAAGAATTCGATCTTTCTCCATAGACATCTCTTCAGACAAAGTGGCTACTTTGTTTGCAAGAGATATTTTCTCGTCTTCAATGGATTGAAGCAAGGCTTCTATTTCTGCAACCTTGGGTTCATCATTACCTACCAAAGCTTCTTTATATGTTTCTAACAATGGCAAAATGGCTGATGTTGGTTTTTCTTCAGCAGTGATGCCACCATCGCTTGCACCATTCTCAACCAGAACTTCATCATCGAAGTTTTCCTGTAAAATGGATCTATTAGCAATGAAATTTTTACAAGAAAAATCCACCTAGGAAATAATAGGACACTGGATAGCAATTTAATTTTTCTATTGCATATCAGAATTTGCAAGAAAAGCTTGGATGTATGGAAAAAGCAACCTGGGCTCTTTTGAATCTTCCTGCACTTTAAAAATTCCATGCTAACATGTCATGCACATGAAGCTTCAAAACAGCCTTGGCTGTTTTTTTCTAATGTTTTCGACCCATTGTTTACCCAAACAATTTAACTGTTTGAACCGTCATCCAGTCTCAATTCTGGGTTTGGTTCTCCTAAAACCCAGAATTTCTTCAAAAACCTATTGACTTGGTTGAAATCTGTCCAACCCAGGTCATTGAACCATTGACCTGTTCAACCCGGTCATCGGGTTACACACTAAAACTTCCAGAGGCCATAACTTTGCACTCAGTTGTCCAATTGGGGTGATTTTATATTGATTTGGACTAACTTTTCAAGACCTCTTTGTCCCAAGGTGCCAAAAGGCATCTTGCCCTGTTATTTTTGCCAAAAAATAGCATTTTTTTATAAATAAAACTTAAAAGCTGAAATAAAAAATATAAATTAAATATAAAATAATACATATATGTACATATATTATATGTAGAATATAATTAAACACTATTTTATTGATAAAATACATGTTTATATATATAAATAAATAAATATATATATATATATATATGTGTGTGTGAAACTGTGAATAGGTGTCCCTGGCTTCTGGAATTTTCATTGGACAACAAATGCACCCTCTCTAAAGTTTGAATTGGAAAACAAGCGAAGGAAAATTGTTATTTTACATCTTCACATAGCGCTTGTTTGATAAAAAGAACAAAATTACCTCTTTTGTTCAATAACTTTTTTGATAAACAAATTGATTTATTATTATATTAAGGAGAATACTGATACAAGTTTTTTCTTGGAGAGGCACGAGCTGCGTACTCTCCTTAGTTAACAAAAACAAACTACAATTGTGCCCAATATAAATGATCTTTTGCTGCCCCTTGCTTGGCTAAAAAATCTGCCAGAGCATTGGCTGGTCTCACAACCCATTGTATTCTCACAGTCCAACCCCTTGTATGCCATTTAAACCTCTTAATTTTGTAGTTATAACACCACACTACAGAATCTGGATTTTGTAGCCAACCGACTACCACCTTGGAGTCACCCTTTTTTTTAAAACCTCTTAATTTTAAGCAAGGTGCAAAATTACAAAAAAAAAAAGTCAAAAATTTCAAAAAATGCCAAAAAAAGGTGCACGTCTAGGCTAAGGCGCAATGCACATCAGGCGCATCAAGGTGTGCACCTTTTGAAAGGGGTGCACCTAGGACCTGGGCGAGGCGCATACCCCAAAATGCGCCTCACCTATGCGCCTAGGCGCCCCTTTTAAATCACTTGTTAGGTTAGGTTTGAGACCAATATTTTAAAGCGTGGAGGTGTGACGCGAGGCATTCCACTACCTAGAGGCCTGAGGCATAGTTCAGAACGTAAGAGGCGTAAGCCTCCCGAACATAAGGAGGCATAAGCCTCCTTAAAAGGAGGGGAAGGAAGAGGAAGGAGAAAGCGTAAACCTTCTTTTCTTTTCTTTCATTTTCTTTTTTTTTTCTTTTCTCTCTTTTCCTTTCCCTTCCGTTTCCTTTTTTTCTTTTTTCTTTTTTCCTTTTTTTTGTCTTTTTATATGAGGTGCATGAGGCGTACGCCTCAAGCACACCTCATGAAAAAGTGTATTTGGCATACGCCTCAGGGCATTTTGGAGGCGCCTCACCTGGAGGCACACCTCCAAGCGTACACCTCTCACGCCTTTCGGACCAACCCATCCAAAGTTGCAACCTTAGTTGTCACCCTAGGGAAAACTTCATCACTCTGTACATGTAGCATGCTATGGTACCCAGACCTTGTACAAGTCTGACATATCAGTGTCAACAAGATATGTACCCAGCATGACATCTAATACTGCATGTACACTTCTTGAATATACTTTACAACATTCACACTAAAATATGTAGAGTGTCATATTTTAACAAGTACTATTAAAATCTATATTATAAGTTTAATTAAATTTCACAAGATAAAAGAATTCATGTAGCCGACCCCATATGGTTGGGAGCTGCTTGATAACAGATGAAATGGCTGCACTGAATGACTTATTGCATTGTTTTATAGTGGATAAAATAATTAAATAAAAAAATATTCAAACACATAATCACCAGCCTAACTACGGCTTCAACAATTAACTCAGATCTCCAGAATCTACACAATAACTTATTCACTAAAAGACAAAAAATTAGCCATTCAGTTCAGCCACTTCAGATATTAGAGTGGGCCTTGGCGTAACGGTTGGGTTGCTCCATTGTGACCTAGTGACCAAGGTTCAAATCTTGGAAACAACCACTTTGTGTCTACAAGGGTAAGGTTGCACACATCTGCCCCTCCCTTCACCCCACATTGGTAGGACCTTCACGCACTGGGCTGCCTCTTTTATGTACTTCTGGCTACCTTCTATTCCGCTTGCCTCCTTATTCCCTCCCACCCACCATGCTACTTTCAATGTTAATCCTAGATCTCCTCCATAAACCTTAAAATTTTCATTTTGATTTTTTTCACTTTCTTTAATCCCTCCAACTCCCCCAACATTACACACCAGATTATTGTCAACATGATTCTCCAATTTCCTTCTTTCATCATCGTCATCGTCCATGCCTTGTCCCAACTATATGGGCTCAACTACATGAATCCGGTTTCAATCCATTCTATTTAAAGCATATATCCATTGTTAAGTTTTTAGTTGTTAAATCGTTTCTTACCACTTCTACTTGTGTCCTTTTTGGTCTACCCTGAGCTCTTCTAGCCCCTTCAATGTGTAATAAATCACTTCTTCCAACTGGCACAGTTGATGGTCTTCTATGCACCTACCCAATTTTGATTCGGTGGATGTTTCTCCTTCTGCTATGAAGGATCTTCTTGTTCTCTTGTAAGTAGCTACGTGCTCCAAACCTTACACCTACATCAAAGGTTCAAAATTTCGATATGTATCGGTGGCCTCTCGATATGTCCCTACAAGGGGTGTTCTGGGGTCTGACCTGGTTTAGGGGGTAAACGGGCCTTAAAATGACCCCATGAACTAGTTTGAGAAAAAAAAAAAGAAAAAGAAAAAGCAAGCCAAGATACAATCTGATACACCCCAACCAACATATCGGCCTATATCAATATTTTGAACCTTGATTACAACCCCCTTCCTCCCAGTCCAGAACATCATCCTTTTGTTCCTCCTACAAATGGCATTCCTCTTTGTTGTTCTACTCGTATTTCTCAACCACCTAACCACTATGGTTTTCCTTCAAACAATAGCTCTCTCTGTTGTCTTATCTTCACAAGTATTCCTTGTTCATACCAGCAATCCATTAGTAGTCCACACTGGAAAGAAGCCATAGATGCAGAGATTCACTTTATATGAAAATGATACTTGGGATCTTGTGTTTGTCCCTCTAGATGTCTCTATTGTTGGGAGTCGTTGAGTTTATACTATCAAATTGAAGTCGAATGGTTCTCTTGACTGGTATAAGGCTTAGATGCTTGCTCAGGGATATAGTCAAGAGAATGGAATTGATTATAAAGAGATGTTTGCTCCACTTGCTAAGATTACCACAGTCCCTATCCTCTTAGCCCTGTTCATTGTATGGTCTTGGTCCATTTACAAGTTGGACGTGAAGAATGCCTTTCTTCATGGTCAATAAGGAAATTGTTTATATGAAGCCCCCTCTTGGATATTGTAGTGATCCTTCTCTAGTTTGTTGGCTAAAGAAGTCCTCATACGGGTTGAAGCAAGCTCCTCAAGCATAGTTTGAAAGGTTTCGTGCTCTTGTAGTCACTCTGTTCATAGGAGACCTTAGGGTATTAATCCCCTCTTATTATATGTTAATGATATGCTATTGACTAGGGGTGATCATGGGCCAAGCTGGCCCCAGCTAGGTTTAGCACTAATGATAAGGGATTTAACCTAGGCCTAAGCCCAGCCTGGCCCACACCCAGGGCCTAGGTTGCAAGCCCAAGATCGGCCCTACAAGGCACAACCCGAGCTTACAGGCTTTCGGGCCTAATGAGTAATGAGTTTAGGCCTATGACATCCACTAGTAAAAATTTAATTTTTTAAATTTTTAAATTAAATAAAATGTAAGACATGCAAAAAATATGGGACAAGCCAAAGTTAAATTGGGCTTGGCTCAACTTTGGGCCTACACACAAAAAAAGGCATGGGCCACATTTAATTCTTAGAGTTGGTTTGGCTTGACTTACCTATCCTTTTATAGATGAAGGTAAGACCTTCTGGTAGGAATCAATCAGCACCCTTGAAGACTTATTCTAGAAAGAAGGCCTTACAACAGGTCATGATATGGCATAGTGATGGTACTTGGGATTTGGATTGAATTGAACACGTGGAGGTGGAAAGGAGATTCAAACTTAATTGTTTCATGGGCTAATGGTAGCATTTAGACTCCGTGGACTCTTAGACATGCTTTTAGGGATGTGGAAAGTATTGCCAAGAACATAATTGCCAAGTTTAAATGGGTGAGAAGGACTGGAAACGGGTTAGCTAATTCCCTTGCTAATCAAGGTGTTATGAGGCAGCATTTGTTCTGGGCTGCTATGTAATATTGAGTTTACCTTTTTGGGGTGGCAGTCTTTCCTCTTTGTATTACTTTTTATCCTTAATCTTATAATAAAATTTCTCTTTGCTAAAAAAAAAAAGAATCAACTTACAACATGCTTATCATCTATAATGTTGGCTAGTTTGACAAGATCAATGACATTTTTGTTGACAGAGGAAATATCCTCGATCGCTACACCAAACTTCCAAACCCAAGAAATAAGTGAGAGGACCTAAGCCCTTCATATGAAAAGAATTATGAAGGGATTTTAGCTCATGAATTCCATCATCATCATTTCTAGTTAATAGTAGGGGTGATC